TCAATTACAATTGACATTCTTTATGAAATATCAAAAACGATGTCCTGTATGTTTTTACCATACAATTGATAGAGAGTCATTTGAAAAAGAAATTGATGAGTTTTTTAATAATAAAGATTTGATTAAAAGGTTTGGAGGGACAAGCGCAATTAAACCATATAAAGCATTTGTTAAAAAATTTCGAGGCATGTTTGATGCGATTGATTGGCATTTATTAAGTAAAGATAAAATAAACGAGGTCTTGAATGAATTTAAAATAACTAAATATCATGTATGGTCTTACTACAACACTAAATATCAAGTATGGCTACTAGTTAATTTGTTTTTCTGGGAATATATTTATTCAATAATAGGAAAAGACAATATCAAATATATAGATATTGGCGATATTGATAAATATGTAAATTACATATTTGAAGACATTTTTCCTGACTATAAATGTAACCCATAATTATTAATTGAAATATAATTATAACATGTAAAATATTATATGCTATAATTATACTATACTTATGGTTTGTAAAGATTGAATTGTTATAATTTGCTTATCTCTTTCAAAGTGCGTTGTTTAGACTTGGCATGCTTCTTCAATTTTTTCGTGCTTTGGCTGTTTGTTTTTGTTTTGTTTGATGCTCTTGTGGTATTTTTTGTTGGTATGTTGCTTTGATTTTTGTTGATGTGTGTTTTTGAGTTTGGGTTCTTTGATGATTTAGAGTGTTGCTGTTTTGTTGGTATGCTTGTTTGAATTATTTAATGTTGCGTGCTGTGATTAAATATTTTTGTTGTTGGTTGTGATTATTTATTTTGTTTGCTTGTTGTTCTGGATTTTGTTTTCTGTTTGTTGTGTTGCTGTTGGAGAAAAAATAGTAGAAAGAATAATTCTTTGAATTCTCCTTTTACTATTTTTTAGGGGTTGGGGGAGGCGTTTCTAAGTGTTCACCCCCAGCTGATTTCAAGCTTCCGGCAACCCCAAGAAAGCAGCGATCCCCCCATGACGAAGGTCTGTACATGTATAAATATGTGTGTGTGTGTTTGTGTAAGTAGATAATGCGTGCTCACACAGTTGCTTGACATGTATGGAGTACTTGGTCACGGGGGTTCGGGAGGCGTTTTCTGGGTTCACCCCCAGTGATTTCAGCCTTCCGGGCAACCCCAAGAAAGCACCCGATTGCTCCCAGGATGAAGGTTTTATATATTATAAATATGTGTGGTGTTTGTGTAAGTAGGGATGCCTTGCTCAGCAGTGTGACATGTATGGATATTGGTATGTATACCCACAACAAGTCCAATTGGTAGACTCTGGGGGGGGGGGGGTTGGGGGAGCGTTTTATAAGTAGTTTTCACCCCCAGCGGATTTTCCCGCAGCTTTCCGGCAAACCCCAAAGGGACGCCAGGAATGCGTTCCCCCATGACGAAGGTCTGCACATGTATAAATATATATGTGTGTGTGTTTGTGTAAGTAGATCATGCCTTGCTCACACACGTGCTGACATGTGTGGAGTATTGGTCATGTATACACAAACAAGTCCAATTGCTATACTCTGGCAGGGGGGTTGGGGGAGGCGTTTCTAAGCCCAGCTGATGTCAAGCTTCCGGCAACCCCAAGGAAGTGCTGACATGTGGGGAGGATTGATCATGTATATTGGTAGACTCTGGGGTGGGGGTGTTGGGGGAGGCGTTTCTAAGTGTTCACCCCCAGCTGATTTCAAGCTTCCGGCAACCCCAAGAAAGCACCGATGCCCCCAGGATGTGTATATATATATATATGTGTGTGTGTGTAAGTAGATCATGCCTTGCTGACGCAGTGCTGACATGAATGGAGTATTGGTCATGTATACACACAAACAAGTCCAATTGGTAGACTCTGTTGGGGAGGCGTTTCTAAGTGTTCACCGCTCAAAACTAACTTTCAATTTTCCAAGCTTCGGCCACCCTTAAGAAAAACACGATGCCCGGAGGACGAAGGATTATATATATTTAGTTATATATAGTTATATAAATATGTGTATGTAAGTAGATCATGCCTTGCTCACATAGGTGCTGACCTACATGGAGTATTGGTCATGTAATATATACACACGTACAAGCCCAAGTGGTTGAATCCGGGCGGGGGGGGGGGGTGCTTCTAAGTATTCACCGCCCGGCTGATTTCAGGCTTCCGTACGTATGCGTGTATGTAAATACATCATGCCTTGCTCACACACGCACTGACATATATGTAGTATTGGTCATGCGCATGCACAGACAAGCCCCATTGGTAGAATCTGGGGACGGGGTGTGGTTCACGCCCAGCTGATTTCAAGCCTCCGGCAACCCCAAGACAGCACCGATGCCCCGAGAAAAATATATCTATATATATATATAAATATGTGTGTGTAAGTAGATCATGCCTTGCTCACACAGTGCTGACATGTCTGGAGGATTGGTCATGTATACACACAAACAAGTCCAATTGGCAGACTCTGGGGAGGGGTTGGGGGAGGCGTTGCTAAGTGTTCACCCCCAGCTGATTTCAAGCTTCCGGCAACCCCAAGAAAGCAGCGATCCCCCCATGACGAAGGTCTGTACATGTATAAATATGTGTGTGTGTGTTTGTGTAAGTAGATCATGCCTTGCTCACACAGTGCTGACATGTATGGAGTACTGGTCACGGGGGTTCGGGGTTCACCCCCAGCTGATTTCAAGCCTCCGGCAGCCCCAAGAAAGCACCGATGCTCCCAGGATGAAGGTCTATATATATATATATATAAATATGTGTGTGTTTGTGGAAGTAGATCATGCCTTGCTCACGCAGTGCTGACATGTATGGAGTATTGGTCATGTATACCCACAAACAAGTCCAATTGGTAGACTCTGGGGGGGGGGGGGTTGGGGGATGCGTTTCTAAGTGTTCACCCCCAGCTGATTTCAAGCTTCCGGCAACCCCAAGAAAACAGCGATCCCCCCATCACGAAGGTCTGTACATGTATATATATATATATATGTGTGTGTGTGTTTGTGTAAGTAGATCATGCCTTGCTCACACAGTGCTGACATGTATGGAGAACTGGTCACGGGGGTTCGGGGAGGCGTTTCTAAGTGTTCACCCCCAGCTGATTTCAAGCCTCCGGCAACCCCAAGAAAGCACCGATGCTCCCAGGATGAAGGTCTATATATATATAAATATGTGTGTGTTTGTGTAAGTAGATCATGCCTTGCTCACACAGTGCTGACATGTATGGAGTATTGGTCATGTATACCCACAAACAAGTCCAATTGGTAGACTCTGGGGCGGGGGGGGTTTGGGGGAGGCGTTTCTAAGTGTTCACCCCCAGCTGATTTCAAGCTTCCGGCAACCCCAAGAAAGCAGCGATCCCCCCATGACGAAGGTTCACATGCCCTCACACAGCTGAAAGGCTGATTTCAAGCCTCCGGCAACCCCAAGAAAGCACCGATGCTCCCAGGATGAAGGTCTATATATATATATATAAAAATATGTGTGTGTTTGTGTAAGTAGATCATGCCTTGCTCACACAGTGCTGACATGTATGGAGTATTGGTCATGTATACCCACAAACAAGTCCAATTGGTAGACTCTGAGGGGGGGGGGGTTGGGGGAGGCGTTTCTAAGTGTTCACCCCCAGCTGATTTCAAGCCTCCGGCAACCCCAAGAAAGCACCAATGAAGGTCTATATATATATAAATATATGTGTGTGTTTGTGTAAGTAGATCATGCCTTGCTCACACAGTGCTGACATGTATGGAGTACTGGTCACGGGGGTTCGGGGAGGCGTTTCTGTGTTCACCCCCAGCTGATTTCAAGCCTCCGGCAACCCCAAGAAAGCACCAATGCTCCCAGGATGAAGGTCTATATATATGTGTGTGTTTGTGTAAGTAGATCATGCCTTGCTCACACAGTGCTGACATGTATGGAGTATTGGTCATGTATACCCACAAACAAGTCCAATTGGTAGACTCTGAGGGGGGGGGGAGTTGGGGGAGGCGTTTCTAAGTGTTCACCCCCAGCTGATTTCAAGCTTCCGGCAACCCCAAGAAAGCAGCGATCCCCCCATGACGAAGGTCTGTACATATAAATATATATGTGTGTTTGTGTAAGTAGATCATGCCTTGCTCACACAGTGCTGACATGTATGGAGTATTGGGCATGTATACCCACAAACAAGTCCAATTGGTAGATTCTGAAAAAAGAAGCGGGTTGAAAAAACCGTTTCTATTTGTTCGCCCCCAGCTGATTTCAAGCTTCCGGCAACCCCACGAAACCATTTCATTAACCTTATGATTTGTTTCATTATTGTCCACGGTGTCGCGCAGTTTTTTCCTGTTGTTTTCTGTTGAAACAAGGGAGGGATGAACACATGATGAAAAACAGATGATGTTCATGGGAAGTTCTGAAAACAAAAAATGCCAGCAAATCATAATTTGTTTATCATTGTTCATTGTTTCATCATTTGCATACTGTGCTCATATTGGTTCATCATTGTTTCATCATCTCGTCATTTGTTTTTTTGGTATAATCGCTGTTTTTTCGTGATTTGTAGGTTGTCTTTTGTCTGGCTGCCCGAAGATCTCTTAAGTCTATCATGTGTGCTGTGTTCCGGATTCATTGGGTATATATATATATATAGTTAGTTCCGCTGTTTTTTTCTTGCATGGTCGGCTCTTTTCTCTCTCGGGGCAACGCCCGTGACCAATGCTTACTTAGAAGCCGCAGGTACCTCTCGGGCAACACTTAGAAACGTTTCTAAGTTTTTGACGGCTGGTAATATGCATCAGAATCGCCATAAAGGCGAAGAAAAAGTTTCTAAGTGTTGGTCGGCCGAACCGTTTCTAAGTGTTGAATTTACTGTTTTTATTTTTTTCGTTTCTAAGTGTTTGTCGGAAATTTTGGAAACCAAAACTGTTTCTAAGTGTATGTCCGTCACTATACGGGGTTTTGACCCATGGCCATGTTGCGAGGTCATAAAAGAGTTGCGGACTTGTGGATGATTTCTGGGGCCCAGGCTCTGGTGGCTGTGCTTCGCAATGTCTGTGACGTCTTTGGGGCTGACGGGTGTGTTGGTCTTCGTGCTGAAGGCGCCCTGCCCCTTGGCTGCCCATTGGCTGTGACTGAGAACTTTTGAACTTTTTGGAAACACGGCCATTTTCAAAAACTTGGCAAGAATTGCTTCACATTTTGCAGGCCAAAATGCGAGCCATCCGAACAGAGCTACCATGTTGCATCCTGGCTCCACATCGTGGAAGCAAATTCCCCTGTGACTCAAGGCCCCTACTGCGCAGCCAGCGCCTTCATCACCGCCATGCTGCTGGCTTTGGTGGAGACCAAGCGCGCCAGGGAGCTCGCGGCGGAGGCCGCGCCCGCGGTGAGCTCTGCGGGAGCTGCCACCGTGGTGGCAGTAGAGCCACAGGCTTTGGAAGAGGGGAGGCAGGGTGGACGGTGACCATTCCAAGTCAATGCGAGAAAAATATTTTTTCTTCTCCAGTCGAATTTTGGTGGCTTCAAGCAAAAGGTCCACCGTTCTTTTCCGAGTCGGTTTTGCCGGCTTGCACGGTCCTGTGAGTTTCGCACGCGCATCGGTCAGGGAGCCCGCGCCCGCGGCGGAGGCTGCGCCCGTGGCGGGGGCCGCGCCCGTGTCGGAGGCCGCGCCCGCGTCGGAGGCCACGCCCGCTTCGGAGGCCGCCTCCGCGTCGGAGGCCGCGCAAGCAGCAGAGGCCGCGCCCGCTTCGGAGGTGGCGCCCGCTCCGGAGGCCACGCCCGCTGCGGAGGCCGCGCCCGCTGCGGAGGCCGAGGCCGCGGCCGCGGCGGAGGCCCCCCCCGCGCTAAGCTTCGCGGGAGCCGCCGCCCTGGTGGCAGAGGCCTTCGCAGACGAGAGGCAGGAAATGGACGTCAATGTGAATAGCTTGTTCCCGAAAGGTTTGCGAAGGGTTCTTGTGGTCAAGTCGTTGCGTTGTGCACAGCTCAAGTGCATAGAGAAAGTGGACAGTGAAATGCATAGAGGCGTGCGTAGGGCACGTACAGAGTGAAACGCATGGAGGCACGCATAGGGAAAGTGCACAGTGAAATACATAGAGGCATGCGCAGGGAAAGTAGACAGTGAAATGCATAGAGGCATGCGCAGGGAAAGTGGGCAGTCAAATGCATAGAGGCATGCATAGGGCAAGTGCAGAGTGAAGTGCATAGATGCATGCACAGGGAAAGTAGACAGTGAAATACATAGACGCATGCGCAGGGAAAGTAGACAGTGAAACGCATAGAGGCATGCATAGGGCAAATACAGAGTGAAGCGCATAGATGCATGCCCAGGGAAAGTAGACAGTGAAATGCATACAGGCAAGTGCAGAGTGAAGTGTATAGATGCATGCGCAGGGAAAGTAGACAGTGAAACGCGTAGAGGCGTGCGTAGGGCGAGTACAGAGTGAAACGCATAGAGGCATGCGTAGGGAAAGTGCTCAGTGAAATGCGTGGCAATCTTGCATTCCTTCTCGCAAGACCGTAACTTACACGAGGCAACTTGCGCGCTAACTTAAAATTAGTATCTTAAAACGGCGCCGTGGGACCAAGCGCGCTCTGCGAAAATGAGACCCTCTCAGGGATCGGCGTAGTACGCGAAGTGCGTCCTACAGCTCCGGCTGCAAAGTCGCATGTTTTGGGTACAAAAGTAGTGCGCGAAGTACGTCCCCGCAGCTCCGGGTGCAATGTTGTGACTTTTAAACGCAGAAGTAGCACGCGAAGTACGTCCCCTCAGCCCTGGTTGCAATGTCGGAACTTGTAAGTACAAGTAGTACCCGAAGCATGTTCCCGCAGCTCCAGCTGCAAAATCGCAACTTTCAAGTTCAAAAGTAGTATGCGTGGCGCACTCCCGCAGCTCCGGCTGAAAAGTCGCACTTTTCAAGTTCAAAAGTAGTACGCAAAGTACATTGCGCATGGCCACTTGGTGAGAGCGACGTGCAGACCTGCGCAGAACAGTTTGCGCAAAAACAGTATCTACAGCAAACATTCTGCAGCATGGGAACCCTGTTGTCGGAACGATGTCGTCTCTTCCGTGGCAAGTCTTCAAACAGAGTTGTCTTTCTTCATATACCTTGGTAGTTGGAAAAAAAACGGACCGACTCAGGCTGCGTGTCATGGAGCATGCTCACACGTCTTCTAGTTGTTTCTTTTTCCTCTAGTCAAAGCTCCACCGTTTCTTTGGCAGGCAGCCGCGGCGGGAGGTGTTGGCGCTCTCTGGGCTGCTTGCGCTGGGCGCCCTGCGTGCTGGCACGCTGCCCTCCAGGTGGAAGCTGAGCGGTTTGACTCGTCTCAGATTGGCCAGGATTTGTCGCCAAAGGGCAAGTCCAGGGGGTTGGGCTGACAGATCGCGAGGGGGAGTCTGGTGTTTTTGTTGATGTGGCCAGAACATCGGACACCAATTTTGTGTTTGGATGGACGTGGGGATTCTTGTGTTGGGATGTGGCCCAAAAAGTCGGACCCCAATTTTCCGTTTTTTTTTGGAGGTTGGGTTTGTGGTGCACCCAAACAAAAAACACCTTGCGCAGGGAGTTCCAGAGCGCCTGGGCCTACTTCTCTCTCATTGAGCAGTACAAGCCGAATCACCCTCCGGTGCGCAGCTCCTCCTCCCAGGCGGCCCTCGCTTGGGCGAAAGCCGGGGTGACGCGGGTTTTTTGGTCGTGTGCATGTACCAAGGTGCCATTGTGGGGTACCCATTTTCCGAATGGTACAGCCAAATGGTCCGAAGAGAGTTCTTTTTTCCTTTTTTTTTCTTTTTCTCTGGGCATTTGGCTGGTGTGTTTGCGAGGCGGAGATGGCCCTGGCCAGACACCTCAGCCGGATCGGCGCCGCCTGCTACTCCACCTGGTGGTGCCCCCACTGCCAGGAGCAGCGGGAGTCCTTCGGCAGGAAGGCCGTGGAGGCCGGGGAGGGGTGAAAGGCTCAGGGCAGAGACGTGGCGCCCTCCTTATCCTTAAAGGGCTTGAGGACCCTTCTAAGACTCTGTGACAAGGTTCTAAGACGTTGGCACTGTCCCACACAGGCAAAGAATTGTCTTCTCAGTCTTTGAGCGACAAGTGGTTGGGCCGTTTGGCAGGTTAGCGCCTCCCCTCGCTAGGGTTGGGAGTGGCACTTCTGTTATCATCCACAAAAGAACCAGTTCGGGGCTCAGAGCTCGCAGTCGAGTCGCCATTTGGCCCCAAGGTCGCGCCCTTTGTCGAGTGCTCCTCAAAGAACCGCAGGCAGCTGCCTGTATGCAAGGAGCAAGACATCGAAAGCTACCCGACCTGGGTGATCAACGGCAAAAAGTGCCTTGGCTGCCCAAGCGGCTCGCTGCCCTCTCTCATTTTGCAAGAACCCTCCTCTTCGTTCTTCTGGGGGTGATGGGGGCGATGTGAGGTGGTAGATCCCAAAACCACAATGCATGGACTGGCAAGTCAGAAGGAAAACGTCAGCACATTTGCATTACATTTAAGCACGCGTCGCAATTGCTGGGACCGGTGTCTTGACGTTCTATGATTTTGTGCAACTCCCGGAGCCGACTTTCGCTCCGCGGCTTTTTGGTACAAAGTTGGGCTGCTTCGGCATCGCTCCACCTTCATCGCTCCCTGGCTTCCCCGGCAACCATTCCCAGCCCCAGCGACTGCCAGACCTGTTCTTGGAAGCAGTGGCATGACCCGAACCCGCATTTTCCAACTAAGACATATTACCAGGCATCCTCAACTGGAAAGTCTCAACGATTCTCAATTTTTGAGAGTGTTCAAATTTATGAACCATGCCTCAGCTACATAGGTGTCCTTTTTGGTTGATTTGCTTAAAAATTAGAGGGCCCTGGTTTAGACGGGGTGTGTTCCATTTACCAAGGCCAGCCTCAGCTAGCTGAGGATTCTGGGGGGCCGGGACTTGTCGGAGCTGGCGGAGCTGAGCGGCTTCACGGAGTTCCCTGCGGACGCCTTCAAGCCCCGGGACGACGCCCTGCTGGAGTACCTCAGTTGTCCAGTGGCTCCCTTTTTCCAACTTTTTTTTTGGTGGCCCCACTAAAATAGTCTTCCCAAAGAAGGGTTCCCTTTTTTGTCCAGGGTCACTGAACAACTGAGGTACATCTGGGGCCCCCCTGAGCCGGAGCCCTGAGCGCGCTGCCAGGATCAAAAACGGCGGCGGTCGGTGGTCGGTTTTGGCGGGGTTCGGATGGATGTCCTGGGCCGAGCCTTGTCCAAGAAGCCAGCAGAAGGGGGATGTAGGCCATGAGGCCATGAGGCCATGTCGCCAACTGCGAAATTTGGCTCGAAGTTGTGATCCATGAAGATGCGAGTGCGCGCTCACACAAAGAGGAGCTGGTACTACGTGAGCTGTCTTAGTGTGACTAGGTAGCGTCGACAGCATACCTTGTATTCAGTACTTGTTCATGAAGGTGTAGATGGCGGAGGGTTGGGCGACGGCTCTTTCGCAGGCCGGGGTCAATGTTCTCTTCATTTTATTTTTTTTTAAGTCAGAGTCAGCTACAGCATTTTCAAATAGATTTTCTTTTAAGCGAGACCACTACAATTGTTTCATAGTGTTTATCTGGTGTTCTTTATTCATTCTTTGAGAGGATGTTTGGCATCTATAGCAAAACGTGGATGTACTTGCAGGCTTTCCATGCTGACGACGAGGCGAGAGTGTTGTGATGGGAGCGTTTGTGTCGGCAACTTTCAGAAGGTGTGCTTTTGTGAGAAATTCCTGCATGGTCTTTGCTCTGTAGGTGGCTTTCATTGATGAGCTGCAGAAAGCATTGCTGGACAGCTATCAGCATGTCGGCCGCTGACTGCTGCCTTGCTTGCCTGTCTCAGCCTGTTTCCCCGATTTGAGCGGGTTTTGCGAGGCGCGTGCGATGCTGGCAGCTGTGAAGGCGCCGAGTTCTCGATCTTCGCTCCTGCATAAATCAGTGAACAAATCCAGTGCAACTGTGGATGGACGAAATCCTGCACCACTTTGAAACCACGGGAAACCATTGTTGGAATTTACAGGGCAATCAGTATCCCAAGGTTTCTTATGTGGTGCGAAATGGATTTCGTCCATCCACAGAATCCCACAACAAGGATGCATCGTGGCCTTTGGAGCGGGGCTGACCTCGGGGCTTTGGCCGACGTCGCAGGCGGATTCCGACTCCTTCGGCCGATTCGGGCTTCGCTGCTTGGCGCGGCTTCTGCAGGCTGAGTTGCGAGTCAGCCAGTTTCCGTGAGTTGCCGGGGCTTTGGGTTGGGCTCTGGTGCCAGAAGCTTTAAGGTGCTTTTGCTGCAAGTGCGAAGGTGCTAGCCGCACCAAGAAACTGAAGCCGATGCATGTCAACCCACACTGAGATCAGCTGCAGACGCCCAGGATGCCTCGCTCCCATGTCTTGGTGGCTCGAAACGCTCACAGCTCTATCTCTAGTTGGTTTTCCGTTTTCTTTCGGTTGCTTGAACATCCTGGTTGTTTGTTTTTGCATGCTGGTGCTGCTTGAGTTCTTGTTGCACCGAAGGATCTTCCTAGTTTTTCAGTCGCAAAGCTTGGGGCGATTCCCCGCTTTGAGCCATGGGCCAATGTCAGCACGTCGAGAAGGTGCAGCCTTTCGACTTCGAGGCCGGGCTTGCGCCGGCGGCTTGCAAGGGAAAACTGACGGAGGGCGTTTTTTCTTCTTGTTTTTTTTTACAGCCGCTTGAGGTATGGCTCAGACCCAAGTTCCATCATTCCGATTCGATTTGGAGATATTCCTAAGTAGCACGCTCTCCTACTCTCTCTTCCCAAGTCAGGAGAAGCAGGAGACCGGCCGTGCTGAAGCAAGGCCCTCGGTCCGGCGAGTCGTCGGATTGAACAATTTGGCGACTCATTCCTGGCACCTGAGGCTCGGAGCTTTCCGCCAGTCCAGGTGGGGGGGGGAAGGGAGGGGAGGGGGGGAGGGTTCAAGCGTCATTGGTTGCTTTCGCCTTCGCTTTTTTGTTGTTGGTGGGTTCATGAGTCAGGCTACCCCTCATGGGTTGGGTTTGGGTGGTTTGGGGATTTGAACCCCTTTTGCGGAGGTTAAATGGGACAGGTGTCCCCTGAACCTCTAAACCACCAATCCAAGCCACCAATAGATAGAGGGAAGCTGAATGAGGATTCCTGGGGCCACACCTTTTTCAAGAGCAGCATCTTGAGAGGGCGACAAGTTGCGGGTACCATTTGGGACACAGAACATCCCGCTTCCCGGTTTGGTTGATTGGGGGGTAGGATAGCTTCAAGAGGTTGGACCCATCTGTCAAAGCTTGGCTGGCCACGGAATTGCTTCCGGACTCCGACCGATCGACCAGAAGCGAGCGGGAAAACGAGGCAGGCAGCACACCGGGCCAGTGCGCCTTCTTTCTAGAGCAGGCGCGGCTGTTGACATGGGACTTGCGAGGAAGGCTCCGGGCTTAGACTGGCTTCAATGGGCCATGCCTTTGAATCAGACCAGCCTGGTCGCTGGAAGGTCTGGGTTTTGGGTGACGCGGGAGGGCACGCAAAGTTGGCCAGGGGCTTTTGCTCAAGTGGGGGAGTTGCGCAAGGCGTGCTTTGGGGATAGGAATTTGGTACGTGGGGCCCGTGTTGTGCTCGAGGTGCGGAATGTGCCCGCCCTCCTGCCGGGCAGCCTTTGCGCTGCAGGATGCTCAGACATGTGCAGCTTTGGGGTTTCATGTAAGTCTGAGATCGCAATGGCTTTCAAAAGGCTGTAGAGCGAGCTTCCAGAAGCATCCGTTTTTTTTTTTGAGAAGCGACTGAGGCCAACGGCAGAAATCCCTCTGTCGCTGCTTGGGTGGAGTCCTCCGGCAAGTTGCTTGGGAAGGCCTCGACTGTGAGTCCGGGATTCATTGCCAAGCGATGGGTTTAGTAGAGGCACATATATGAGCCACTTGAATGCAGCTGCAAGGGATTGTAGGATCCCCATAAAATTTGATAGTCCATCCCAGTCAGTCTCCAAATGAGAAGAAACATATAGACAGGATTTCACTGTGCAGTTGTCAGCCAGCAAGCAGCCAGCTGGCAGCGATTAAAGAGATGCTTGGGAGAGCAGTTGGGATGCTGCGCAGGTTGCTGAATGGCCAGGCAAGTCCTGCCTGCATCCTTGCTGGTGACTGCCCAAGCGCGATCCGAAATGGGTGAGAAAAAACGTAACCCCTGCAATCAGAACGAGGGGGAGAGCATTGAAAGGACCGGCTTGCTGTGCTATGTTGCGTTTGGGGTTACCTGATGCCATGGACATCTGAGGTTTTCGGCGCGCGCGCTGGATTTCTCCTTGGCCGCACCCTCAGCTGATCGGAATTTGCCTCCAAGCCGCGCACCGAAGCCGAGGCTGAAGCCTCGACAGCCACGCTGCGCTTAGAGCCGCTCGGTCGGTGAGCTTGATCTCAGTCCGGCGCAAAAGGCTTTTCCAGATTGAGAGGTTGGTACTTGGGGGTTGATCAATATTCACTTCGGCCCTAAATGAGCATGAGTAACCTTTCCCATTCAGTGGTTGAAATATCAAATCTTTCTTCCGTGGTTTTCCAACTAATGGTCAGTCGTTTGCATGTCAATGCGGCATGTGCTCCGCCAAAGCCCGATTTCTCGGGGAGTCGTCTTGGGCTTTAACAAGGTCAGCCTATGTCCATGACACCCTTTAGAGCAAGTCCCACTTGCGCGCATCGATCCAAAAAACCGCGGAGCTTTCGGATGCGTCGATCGCAGGATCCGAGACGCGGGCACGGTGCTGGGATCCCTGCAAGTGCCCCTCAAGGACTTGGCGCTGCACCAGCGGATCGAGCGCAGCGCGGAGCTGCAGCCAGGCTGGCAAGACTCTCGCCCGCCGGTTCGACGGAAAAGGGGGGGGGGGAGACCGGGAGAATGTTCACCCCGGATTAATAAACCCCTGTTTATGAATAAGGGGGTGTTTCCCTCCAAAAGTGATAAATCTCCAGTAAAACCAGGAACACCCCCATATTCTCCTGGGTCAACATGAGCCGTGGTGGGGAGAGGGTGAGCTTGGGGCAGTGCCGTGGCAGCGCCGAAAGTAGGTCAGGCAACTCCAAAGCTTTTTTTGCAGCCTGCTGCGTTTTTTTTTTTTTTTGTGGTTGGGTCGGTGAGGCGTTGGAGTGCATTGCTCTTGCTTGCTTTCTGTTAGGTGCCTCTGGCGATGCCTTACGTGCAGGACCGGGTGCCGAGCCCAAAATTCCGCCTGCGCTTAGCCGCCTCGAATTCGACGAGGTGAAAGCCGTAGTCCTCTCCTTCTCTATCTCTCTGCTATTTCGCAGAAGCAAGATCAGTGGTGAGGGAAGGTGAATATGCAGGTCTTCTGAGAGTTCTGAGCCGATGCGTCGGAGGAGCTGCACCCATGCTCGTGTCCTTCCAGATTTTGGACTGCAGCGTGGCCTGCTCAGCCAGTCATTTGTGGTGGGTTTTTGAATTTGCTACATTTTAAGGGTTCCATCAAAGGTAAACCAAAGGAACAAAAACCCGTCTCGGGGGTTCCCTCATCTGATGTCATTGCCATTGCCTTTTGCAGCTAGCTGTGGATAGCCTTCTTCTTAGTTAACGTTAAAGGCACGCGGGGGGATTTGTACCTTCCGCCCTTCGCACGCTGAAAGCATCGACCAAGTCAGTGACGAGACTTGAGGTCGTTCTGAAGCGAAGAGTTGTGCCTGAGCCTCAGGTGTGGGTCTCCCTTTGCATGCGGAATTTCGAAATGAATCCTGAAACCATCCTCGTTCTATCGTTCTCTTGGCGCCTCATATTGCCGGGCCCGCAATTGGAGTTCTTGGAGTCTCCTTGAAGTTCTAGGTACTTGGTTCGCCATGGCGAAAGTCAATGGAACAAGGCGGGGACGCCTGAGCATTGATGCTTCACTTTCGCGTTGATCCACCTTGGTGAATCCCGAGGCACAGCACAAGATGGATTTGCACGGCATGATGCGCACCACAGACCACCCGCTTTCCGCAAAGGGCCGGGAGCAGGTGGGCGTGACCGGCACAGGGGACGGGGCGGGGGGCGGGGGGAGGAATGACACGTGAGCCAGGATGAAACCTGCGTACGCATTGTCCTTCCAACAATCCATAGAGGCGGCTCTTCTGGAATTCCCTTTGAATCTTGGCTGGAACAAGCGTATTTTGTGAAACATGGGTATGGGTCAAAATTGAACCACCAGGGGACCACAGGTTTTTGGTCCATGTTTCCACTTGCCAGGGTTTCATTTGGGGTACCTATTTTTGACCCACAGCCGGGCTTGGGCATGCCAGGCAGAGAAGTTGTGCCGACTGTTGCAAGAAGAGCTGGACAAGGCTCGATGCGCACGTGAGTAAGCGTAACAAGTAGCCCCTGACTGGGGTTGATGGGGATTGTCCCAAACCAAGTTTTACGCAGAGAGATAAAAGAAACATAAGATAAATAAAGAGATGACATATGATTGCTTCCGTGTCAGGATTATTTATATTTCTTCTTTTACTTTCTTATTTTCATCACTTACATCTTAACTCTAGAATCCACTCCAGAAGCTACAAAGTGAACCAGCATGAGGTAGAGAATTAGGAGGGTTTACATGCTTTCCTATTCATCATTGTAATTCTTCTCTGTGCTACCTTTATCATTCTCTTTTTATTATCTATTTCTTTCTTCATCAATCTGCAACTTCTTGAATTTATGGTCTCTTTCATTTACAGGTTATGACGAGATCATTTCCATAGTAGAAACAATTAAAAATAAAACCACAAATACTAGTATAAATAATGAACGATTAATGATAGAACAATAAAAAACCAAACTAAAAGAATTAACTGTAAATACCTTTCGTGATCCATTATTCTATTTTTCCTGTATCCTTCAAGTGTGTGTGTGTGTGTGTGTGTGTGTGTGTATGTGTGTGTGAAAGAGACCTCAAGTGGGCACACCCTAAACACCCGATCCAAAAACCTCACTAAACCCGCCTTTTTCCTCAACTCAACCAACCCCCATCTGAACCCACCCTAGATCCTAAACCGACCCACCTAAAGCAACCGCAAACACACCCTAGACCAGCCTCAAGCCAATTCTAAACCTACCCGAAAACCCACCTACACACCCGCACGCCGCCCTAAACCCACAACTATGAACCCCTAAACCCACCCAACACCTACCCCGAACTTAATTTAAACCAACCCTGAACAGACCCCTAAGCCCACCCTATACCAACCCCCCAACGCACCCTGA